TTTTACAATAATGATTATAATTCAAAGAGGGATAAAAATTATTGATCTGGATTAGTCAATTTATTGATATCTCTAAATAATATTGTGATGTCAATATGTGTTTTTGGCGCAAATAATACATATTTAATTTATTTTAAGAGCAAATTTTTTTCGAGTTTCTAAAATACAAAAGATGTATATATTTATAGCAGATTATATGTGATATATTGTGATAGATATATTTATTTTCTCTTTACAAGAGGTTGGCAATCAATTTTTCATGTAAGTAATACCATTGTATATTATATTTCTACTTATTTTTACAGAGAAATGCCGGATATAAAAATTACACCACTCGGTGCTGGACAGGATGTAGGGCGTAGTTGTATTCTTGTCTCAATGGGTGGTAAAAACATTATGTTAGACTGTGGAATGCACATGGGATTCAACGATGAAAGACGCTTTCCTGATTTTTCTTACATAGTCGCGGAGGGACCCGCGACCAATTACATCGATTGCGTCATTATCTCTCATTTTCACTTGGATCATTGTGGTGCCCTTCCATATTTCACGGAGATGGTAATCATACAATTTAAACGTTTAATAACTTTTGTAAGCAAGCTTCTTTTATTTGATGTTCTTTTGAATATTTATGTCTACTCTCTGCAGGTAGGCTATACTGGACCAATTTACATGACACATCCGACTAAGGCTATCGCGCCAATCTTGTTGGAAGATATGAGAAAAGTTGCGGTCGAACGTAAAGGTGAAAGCAATTTTTTTACATCGCAGATGATAAAAGACTGCATGAAGAAAGTTGTTGCTGTCACGCTTCATCAGTCTGTCATGGTCGATCCGGAATTGGAAATAAAAGCGTACTATGCTGGACACGTGCTCGGAGCGGCTATGTTTTGGATTCGCGTGGGATCGCAGTCTATCGTGTACACAGGAGACTATAATATGACGCCAGATCGGCATTTAGGTGCCGCATGGATAGATAAATGTAGACCAGATTTATTAATATCGGAATCGACATATGCAACAACGATTAGAGATTCTAAAAGATGCAGGGAAAGAGATTTTCTTAAAAAAGTACGTTTTGTTTTTGGCTTATTATCTATATAAAGAATAATGGTTTAGCTCGGTTGTCTTGTACGATTTCGATGTGTGTGTTGTAGGTACACGAATGCATCGACAGAGGCGGGAAAGTGCTGATCCCTGTATTCGCTCTCGGTCGCGCCCAAGAATTATGTATACTTTTGGAAACATATTGGGAGAGAATGAATTTAAAAGTGCCTGTTTACTTTGCACTCGGGTTGACCGAGAAGGCTAATAATTATTACAAAATGTTTATCACCTGGACTAATCAGAAAATTAAGAAAACGTTCGTACAACGGAATATGTTTGACTTTAAGCATATAAAACCGTTTGATAAAGCGTATATTGATAATCCAGGTGCGATGGTAGTGTTTGCCACGCCGGGAATGTTGCATGCCGGTCTATCTCTACAGATATTTAAGAAATGGGCGCCTAACGAAGGCAATATGGTTATCATGCCGGGTTTTTGCGTGCAAGGCACTGTGGGTCATAAGGTCTTGAACGGCACGCGCAGAATAGAGTTTGAGAATCGGCAGATCGTGGAGGTGAAGATGGCCGTAGAGTACATGTCCTTTTCCGCTCACGCCGATGCGAAGGGGATAATGCAACTGATACAGTACTGTGAACCAAAGAACGTTATGTTGGTTCATGGGGAATTTGCCAAGATGGAATACTTGAAAGAGAAGATTAAACAGGAATTCGGTGTCAGTTGTTATAATCCAGCTAATGGCGAGACTTGCGTCATCACAACTACCTCCAAAGTTCCCGTGGATGCTTCTTTAGCATTGTTGAAAGCCGAAGCGAAGAGATATTCGGCCTTACCGCCAGATCCGAAGAGGCGGAGATTACTTCATAGTGTCTTAATGTTGAGAGAAGATGGTGTCTGTCTCGTAGACGCGGATGAGGTAATCTTATAAAAAAAAATGATAAACGGTTTATTTTATTTATAAAATAATTATTATTATATTCTATATATGTTAATTGCACAAGTAAATTGATCGTTGTTCTTGTATTTTATTAGGTTGCAAAGGCTGCAGGTATCACTAAACATGTGGTGAGATTCACATCCACTGTGCAGGTAAGAGATCCTGGTCCAGCGCACGCCACCACCTTAAAACTGTTGCAGCCACTGAAAGAGAGATTGTCAGGATGGACGGTCCAATTGACAGACGGCTCTATATCGGTCGAGTCTGTTTTGGTGAAAGTAGAAGGAGACGAAGATGATCAAAAGAGTGTTTATGTTTCATGGACTAATCAGGATGAAGATTTAGGTAGTTACATTCTCGGATTTCTGCAAACAATGTTGAATTAAAAAAGAAAAGAAGTGAATTGTCGAACAAGGAAACTTCGAATTGTGATATTGAAATGTAGTTTTTCGACTATTGCTGCTGAAGAAACAATTATAAATACGCTTTTCGTATAGATACAGAATTGAAACAGAAATATTTTCGAATAAAGCAGTATCGAGTGATTAAATAATAGTATGATGTTATTTCTTATGTTTTGGATATTGTGTGTACTCTTAAATAGAATCAGTACGAACAATATATATTACACTTTACACACGTTTTTTAAATAGTTCTTTTAATTTCTTTTCTTATCTATATAGTATTTATATTAAAAGAAAAGTGTAATAGCTTTATTCCATGTATCAAAGTTGGTAAGTATATATATCTCTCTACAACATTTGATCTATTTTTGATAGATGATCCCACCTCTCGCGTCTTAGCGAATCACTGGATGGCCGTAACTAAAGGCGCATGATGCTTTGTCTAATGAGCCCATTCCTTAGCAAAGCGTCGCACACTTAGTTGACTAGTCCAATGACATTGTTAGCTCATTACAAACGAAACAACAAAGCAATGAGTATCAATCAACAGATATCGGCTGAAAGTTGCAGATATTTATTAGATATCTATTACATATTGCGAAAAAAGCAATATTACTTAGTAGCTAAATATAGCGTCTTGTGTCATTAAGAGTTATTGTTTTTATAAAATTTTTATAATGTATATAGTTTATTAATGTGCAATTTTTGATATTCAAAAAGAATGATACCGTCTGGCTGAAGATCTTATTTGATCTAAAAGTACAACTTTTAAATATGTAAAATTGCTTAAAATTATATCTAGTTATATATTACAGAGATGATTCGCGCGCAAAATGTATATTGTATATTATACTCTAATTATGTGTGTATATATATATATATATTAATGTGGCCATATCAATAAATATTTATTTTAAAAAGTGTATCATCTATTATGTATTAATAGATAAGCGTAATCCTTGAGATTTGTCATAATAGAAAACAGCAGCAAGTAAAACAGTAAACTTTTATTAACTATGAATATGCTTTCTAGATACAAAACGGTAAATAAGTACGCGGTGTACTAAACATACATGCCTCTCTTACAAAAATCAGTACGATATAATTCTATTTCTTGATGCGACCAATCGATTACACAGATGAACAAAGAACTCTTTAAATTACACAATATTAATATCTAATACAGTGTTTTTAAACATTCATGCAAGTAATTGATTAAAAGAAATAGTTTTCCAAGGAACTCTAATATTGCTACTTTGCAACAATATAAAACAGTTTGACCGATTATAATAATAAACAGAACGTAATTAAATATTAATATAAATAACGGTATGGATCATTTCCTTAAATGTCCATAGAATTGTTTGTTAATTTAAACATATTAAATATTACATTAAAAGTTTATGTGAATTATACGAAATAATATTATACGAATCCGTCTTGTGTATGCCTAGTTCAGTACAATCATTGGGCGCAATTATAATTTCCGTTAACTTTTGTATATATACGATCACCTCGTTCATGCAAACTCGCCTTATATCATACGATTATTGCACGTGAATCGATCAACAAATTTGAACTTGTATACAATGGAATTAACAACATGAAGATCGTTTTATAAATCTGGTGTATTGTGTTCGCTATCAATAACAAAATGCCGTATATATTTTATATTATATTATGTATATATGTATGTATGTATATATATATATATATATATATATATACATTATTTCTGGTCCATATATACGTCTAATAATAAAAGAAGAAAAAGAAAAAAAGAATCGTCAAACACTAATCAGAGTACGTGACTCAGAAATAATATCAGAATCAATATCATAATATGCAATATGAAGTCATGGAATTACATTATTTAATCAATTATACAATTTTTCTCGAATTGTAAAAAGATCCTGTAAATATTGTTCTTATGCCTCTCGCATAACAGAATTAAAATTTATTAATTGTTACAGTTTATAGAATCTATAAACAATTAATATCGGCAATTCGTAACGCACAATTTTGATAATCTTTACAATTGTGTATTGTATATTGTATAGCTATTCATAACTATAAATTATATAACCATCACATGCGCCAATATCTCAAGATTTTCCATTTATAATCGCTACGAGTTTAATTATCTATAGTTTTCTCCACATAATAAAATATGATATTTTATATTTTTTTACAATAAACATTATCCGTAATATTTTCACTTCATATTTAGTCTTCTGAGTAGCAAAGTATGCCATTTACATCTATATAGCAGTGCTGCATCCCATCTTTTTAACCGTCAGTACTTGCACTGCACTAACGCAGCTTATTTTTCGAAGTTATTTTTTTCCTGAACCACCCTGAAAGAGTACATTAATAGAATGAATAAAGTGTATTTTAATGACTGTGTGATAGATAATGCACTAATGTATACAAAACAATATTCTATATTTGTTCTTCCGTCGTAAAAAATTGACAAATATATGCAGATAATAAATAAATAACCAATAATAAAGTATTGCATGTCAATTAAATCACATAAAATATAAATTTCTATTTGATGGAGAAATTAAAGGAAGAACAAATGAAGATACGTGAAAGATCATGCATAACAATGCTAATTATTAATAAGAAATACGCGTTACATCAATTCATTAAATATTTCTTATTAATAAAAAGATTTCTTGCGTCATCTTCATATCTGAATCTAATATTAAGCTAAAAGTACATGCTTTTAAATTATGTTACAATCAATTATACGAGACATACATATTTAAAAAATCCTATTATTTTACAGCAAGAAGCAATTTGGAAGAAGCATACATGCAACATTTATAACAAAACACTAAATAGGTAAATAACAGAAAATTCCATTATCTTATACTAAGAAGTAATTTATGAACAATGCACATACGATATTCACTAGCATATATACTAAATAAGTAAATAATAAAGAAGCAAAAATAAAATTACTAAAAAAACTAAAATTATTAGAATACTTATGTTAGCTTACATGTTTTTTACATTTGATTTTATTCGAGGTTTTACACTGACACATAAAAATAGAAAGCGATAAAACAGAACTTTTAGAAAACTATTAACATCAATGGCAATAACAATTACATATATACGCGCGCGCGCGCGCGCGCACACACACACATACATACATACACACACACACACACACACACACACACACACACACACACACACACACACACACACACACACACACACACACACACACACACACACACACACACACACACACACACACACACACACACACACACACACACACACACACACACACACACACACACACACACACACACACACACACACACACACACACACACACACACACACACACACACACACACATAACTTTCTATAAAAATTCTGCTTTATCGTTTTTTATTTTTCATGCGATATATTAATACTAGACGAAAACTATTTCAATTGAAAAAAAATATATAAAGCATGTAACTTAAGAAAGATAAACGTTTATTGTAATTTTTGAAGTTATTATATCATATATTACGTTAGTACTTAAACTTCACATAAAATTAGCAAAAAAAAAGGGTAATAAAGAGCGATATATAACATAAAAGTATGCTAAATATCGCTATATGTGAAAAACAATATGTAAAATAAAAGGATGTTAAATATAACTATAAAAAATAATTATTGTTTGTTATAATGATTAATTAGTTTAGTGAATACGCTGTTCTTTTCTTTTTCGCGCAGTGTACTCTTTATCCCAGTGTTCGTGCTGATATAAATTATATGTACATTTCTGAATATGTTACATTCATCTTTGTTTTTCTTTTTAAACATATTTTTCGATTTATTGATCAATGTAGCTTTATAATTATAACTTTATGCGATCTTATAAAAATAAAATATATCAATTATTTACTTGGTTTAGAAATTATTATATATCATGAATTATATATGGATTTAACAGCCAGAAAGTTTCGTAAGTCATAATTGGCAGGAATTAAAGATGGGAATAGAAATTATTTTTCTAGCCGTATTGTGTGCCAAGATACACAAGATGCAAAAAGACATTCATATAATAATATTATAGTCACAAAATAAAATATAAAGCCAACAATAGCTACTGTAAAACATGTTTATAAAACATATAAATATAAGTGAAATCATAGAATAAAAAGATTACAAGAGTGACTAATAATATTAAATATAATTAATATATTTTATAGAGTTTTAAATAATTATATATTATATACATTTATATAAAAACATATTGTACTTTCATCAGAAATACAAATAGAAAAAATTCGAAAAATTTAGAAAGTAATTAAATAAAAAAAATTTATTTATTGTATAACTTATCATTTTTCACACAAACATTAAAACATCGAAGAAGTTGATATAAAATATACATGTTCCAAATAATGAACATAGAATAACAGTACTATTAATATGGCCTATATATTTACTGTGTGACATATTAAAAAGTACATTTTATAATATAGATTATATCATGTAGATTTTGCCTTTTATTATAGTTTTCGTTTTTGTCCCATAAAAAGTATACTTTATATATATATACTTTTCTTTTATAT